CTCCCTGAGGGGGCTAAGCAAACGCTCAGAGAGCCCCAAGAGGCCTCAGCAGTGCCCAAGAGGATCCGAAGAGAGGCCCAAGATGGCTCCAAAAGATCTCGGGGAATCCCGTCTCAACAACACTTCAAGTCGCCCGGACATCGTTTCTGGATGGGCAGCCTTGTGAGGATTCGGGGAACGCCAAGGAATGCTAGTTGCGTTTCCTCCTTCTCCTGTTCTTCCCTCTGGTCCCACTCTTCCTCCTCCTCCTCCTCCTCCTCCTCCTCCCCCTCCTCCTCCTCATCCTCCTCATTTTAGATCGGGCCTGTCGCGGAAGGGCCTTCGACCCCCGCGCAGAGGGGGGGCGGCGACCGCGACAGCGACGGCGACGATGGCGATTGCGCAGCGGGAAAGCGGAAAAGGAGGAGAACGAAGACGATGACGAAAACGGCCCTTCTGGAGGTGGTGTTGTTTCTTTCGGTTTTCTCGCTCGGCCCCCACAGGGCTGAGGAGGAATCCCGGGAAAGCGAGAGGGGCGAAAACGAGCGGAGAAACCGCAGCGGTGGTTTTCCGGGGACCCGGCGCCGCAAATTAATGATGCTTTTTGTGTGTGCCAAGGCGGGCAAGTACATTGCAACAACAATGATATCATATCAACCTGATCGCTGGCAAATATCTATGAGCACTGTCGTAGAAATTGACGTAGTAATTTACAATACTCTGTAGGGGAAGTACGGCCCCCGGCGTATGGCCGGCCCTTTGGATAATACAGCTTCCGATATTCGCACGCGAGGTGCGCCAGCATCTGTGCATCCTGTAAAGAAGCATAATGTTCCAATTTGTTTATCAATTTCTGCCCCTTCCGACCGAGGTCAGATGCAACAGCTTTGATAGCATCTGGAAATACACGCAAGAGGTCGCACAGGTTTTTGCTGACACTATCGGGGCCGCCCTTCTCGGCGAGTCGGTCTGCCTGGGGGCGGTCTTCACCGCCGAGCATGATCAGGCCGATGTGGGCGTAGTAACCTGCACGAGTACAGGAAGGTGCATCGAAGAGGTCCGGGTACTGCGTACCGATGTCCCGGGCCACCACGTCGGCCAGAATGCCGCGCAGACGCAGCTCACCTAAACATTTAATGACATGGTCATTTTGGGTCACCCCAGAAATCCGGGGGCCCTCGAGGATGGTCGCCCACACGGCGCGGCAACGAGCCCCGTTGGCCATGCACACCCAGTGGACATATTCTGCACAATTTTCCCGATGTGTGTCTTTGCCAAAAGTCGAAAGAACTCCTCTGGCAGACCCAAGCAAGGACGAAGGCGGCGCTCCCGCAACAGGCGCGCCAGTCTCTGCGCACCGAGGTTCTATCCATTTGTTGTCGTATTTCTTCAAGAAAGAATCTGCGTCCATGTTGAACTTGAAAGGCGCTTTCATTGCTTTCAGTCTGGAGGCACTGTTCAAAACGACCCGGTCTATGACGAGGTTGCCAAGAAAGAGCGGCCCGTCGGCTGGGATGCATTGCGTATGCAGGTGCAAGTGAGTGGTGTCAAATTTGTAATGAAAGTTGTTGCGTGCGCGAGCCTGGGGCCCTCGCAGGGCCTTCTGTTGTTCCGAGGGAAACTGTAGGAACAACTCGTCCGCGGCGCCATCAATGCCCTCGCCAATCCGGTCTAGCCACTCGGCAAGGAAGAAGAGTGTCATGCGACAGTAATCCGCCACGCGGCCCGGATCGAACTCTGTCGCTGTATGCCGCAGCGCCACGGTCAGTGACGGAGCTTTGCGTTTTTTGGTGGGCCTCTGCGACTTCTCTCGCGATGCTGACCACTCTTGGGGTGAAACCAAAGTGCCGTCAGTAGTCAGCACCATGCCGGTCTTGATGCCCTCGATGGTAGATGCGCAGAGTTGCACGCCTGTTCCACGTGTGGGTCTCCATTTCTCGCAAAGCTCAATGGCAGGCTTTCTGGCCTTCTTATGACTTAAACAGAAGACCGTCAGACAGCTCCATCGCGCTAAGAGGTGAGTTTCCTCGTTGACATGGAGTACCCATGCTTCGCGCCGAGTGGACGTGAGGCGGGACTCGGGCACTGGAGTTTCGCAACCGCATGCGCAGTAAGAGGCAAAGCGGCGTTTCGACATACTGTATGTCTTCGTGTCCTGTTGTGTTCCAAGAGTTCCTTGAGCCAGAAGCTGGCTACGGAAGAACAGTGTTCAGATGATGGGACGGCTTACACCCTTGCTTCTGCGATGTGGAAACATTCCTGTGCTGTGTGGGAATTTGCATGGGTGCGGTGAAAATCTGTGGGAATCTCGTTAAAAATGCGCTGCCGATGACGATGCCTTGAACAGCTGGTGCGGTTTGCGTTGGAGTTCCTTTCACTTTCGTTTGCTGTGGCAATGGCTGTGCCACCCAACGGAACACCCAACGGAACACTTTACGAAGACACCCCTCGAGTAACGTATTGTGAACAATCCCACGGAAAACACCCCAGGAAACACATGCGCAGCATTCCCGCGAAACGAAAACATTCCACGAAACACCACGCGAAAAGCACCACGCGAAGAACACCCCACGAAACATTCAACAGAACACAGAACACGAAACACACCTTACGAAGCACGACACGAAGAACACCCCACGAAACACCCAACGAAACACCCCACGAAGAACACTCCACGGCACACCACGCGAAAGCACACCACGAAACACCACGCGAAAAACAGCGCACGAAAACCACCCCACGAAACACCTAACGAAGCACACAACACGAAGCACACCCCACGAAACACAATACGAAAAACACCCCACGAGTCACCGACCGAAACACCCCACGAAAAAGCGCCCCACGAAACACCCCACGAAAGCACCCCACGAACACCACGCGAGGAAATCACAACACACCACGAAACAACGAACGAAACACACAACACGAAACCCGCCTCACGAAACACGACACGAGAAACACCCCACGAAACACCCTACGGAAAACACCCCACGAAACACCACGGGAAAATGCCCCACGGAACATCACACTAAAACCATCACACGAAGAACACCACACGAAAAACATCACACGAAAACCACTCCACGAGACACCGAACAAAACACACAACGCGAGACACACCCCACGAAACACGACACGAAGAACTCTCCACTAAACATTCTACGAAATACAGCCCACGAAGGACCACACGAAAACACATCACGAAACACCGCGCGAAGAACATCACACGGAAAAAACAACGGAACACCGAACAAAACACACAACACGAAGCACACCCCACGAAACACGACACGCAGAACACCCCACGAAACACCCCACGAAGAGCATCCCACGAAAAGCTGACGACGACGGCGGCGAAGACGAGGAAGCCCACGAAATCTAACGATTATGTCTTTGCGCGCGACTCCGAGAAGCGTGCGGTGGTCCTCCCCTTCAGGAGTAGCCAATCTCTTGGTTTCGTCCTTCGCGTCGTCGTCGTCGTCGTCGTCGTCGTCGTCGTCCCCCTCCTCATTCTATTTGTCTTCTTTCTTTGCGTCTTCCTCCTCCTCTTCCCCCTCCTCGTCCTTGTCCTCTTCATCCTCCTGCCGGCAACGAAGCCTTGAACAGCTGGTGTGGTTTGCGTTGGCGTTTCTTATGCTCTCGTTGTGCTGTGGCAATGGTTGCGCCACCCCGTGGAACACCCCACGGAACCCTTTACGAAGACACCCCTGAGGAACATATTGCGGACCATCTCACGGGAAACTCCCCACGAAACACATACGCAGCATCTCGCGAAATGAAAAACACCCCACGGAACATCGCGCGAAAAACATCACACGAAAAACACCCCACGAAACACTTGACAAAACACACAACACGAAAGACACCCCACGAAACACCCAACGAAAGACCTCACGAAAAACATCCCACGACACACCACACGAAAACACCCCACGAAACACCACGCGGAAAACATCATACGAAAAACACCCCACGAAACACCGGACGAAACACACAACACGAAACACACTCCACGAAACACGATGCGAAAAACACCCCACGAAACACCCTGCGGAAGACCCCGCGGAAAAGCACCCCACAAAACACCCCACGAAAACTGCCGACGGAAAAGAACACACGAGGAACACCCCACGAAGTACCGAACAACACGCACAACACGAAGCACACCCCACGAAACCCGAGACGAGGAACACCCCACGAAACGCCCCACGAAACACCTCACGGTGAACACCCCACGTAACACCATATGAGCACCTCCCACGAAACACCGTGTGAAGAACATCACACGGAAAACATCCCACGAAACACGGAACGAAACACACAACACGAAACACATCCCACGAAACAGGACACGAAGAACACCCAACGAAATACCCCACGAAACACCCCACGAAGAACACCCCACGGAAAATCGCGCGAAAAAATCTTGGGAGCACCGAAACACCCCACGAAGTACACCCCACGAAATACCTCACGAAACACTCCACGAAACACATCTCACGAAACAGGACACGAAGAACACCCCACGAAATACCCCACGAAACACCCCACGAAGTACCCCACGAAACACTCCACGAAGAACACCCCACGGAACACCCCACGAAGAACACCCCACGGAACACAGCACATTGGGGGGCGCCGGGTGGTTCGAAAGCTGGCCGTCTCTCACGTCGGGTCCTAAGGGTTCCCACAGTTGCGTGGGCCACTGGACCACGGGTCGCGCAGATCGGGGCCGATGGGGTTTCCCACGTCTTGCGCGGGCACCTGGAAACGAAATCAAGGACGGTGGCGTTGTGTGGTTCGTAGGTGAGGAGACTCGCCAAAAACAGTGCTTGCATGGGGATGGAGAGAGAAGGAGACATACCAACGAAAGTGTTTTTTCGCATGTCCGAATGTATAAAGCAAGGGGGCAATAGTTGAGCCCCGGGCCGTCATGGGCTCGCACCTTCGGGCTTCGACGAAGTCCGACGTGCGTCGAGAGACATGGCTGGGCCGTTTACCTGGAGCTGGGGCGGCGCCTCACCGCCGCCGTCGTCTTCGCGATGGTCTTCGTCACGGGGCACTTGCTGGCGGGCTTCTTGGACGGGGCGACGCCGGCGGAGGGCTGCGACGTGGAAGAAGAGGAAGTCGATGGCGTGACGGGCTGGGTGAAAGCCACGACGCTGCCGAGCTCGGAAGCCCACGTCTTCAGGGCGTTGTGAACCTTGACGGGCACATTCGGCGCAATTGAGATCGCGAAGTTCAGCAACTCAGTGATGGTGTACGGCTCCGAGGTGTGCTTGGTGCCCGTGCGGGTCATTGACACGCGGTTAGAAAGTATCTTCGCCTGCGCACTCCACGCGGTCTGGTTTGGAGTGGCGGGGACGGCCATGTCTGCGGACACGAAGGCGTCGATGAGGATGTGCTTCGTGATGTCGCCGATGAAGTTGCATGCTTTGGCCGCGGCCGCGTCAGAGTTCCCGTATGCGGCGCCCACCCACGCCCAACTGCGGCCCTGCGTGGGGTTCGCGGCGGCGGTGGGCGGCATGAAGTTGGCATGCGTCCTGACCACGCCTGCCGGGGTGCTGGGAAGGCCCACCTGCTCCATCGCGCGAGCCGACAAAGTGCTGAGGCCATGGCGGTTGGCCGGTTGCGTGGCCTTGAGGCTGGCGCCATCTGCAAAGGTCACGCGTGCGCCAGCGTTCTTCTTGCCCGGGATGTCGATCATCTCCAAGTGCACCGAGATGGTATACAATGATGCCTGCTTCCGCTGACCCTGCACTGGCGTGCTCTCCGGCGCCTTGGCGGTGTTCAGGAGCGCATTCTTAATGCTCGCCTTGGGAGGCATCGGAGGCGGCGGTTTGGCCGGGGCTGGGTCTAAGCACGGTGCTGCCGAAGCGCGCCCGCAGCTGCGGATCTCTCGAGCCTTCGACGGCGGCGGCACGCAGTGTGTACAATGACATGCCCGTGCGGTCTCGAAGGCCGAGACGGCAACAGATCGGGGATAGGGGTTCCCACAGCTTGCGCGGGGCCCCGCGGAGCTAGAGCGGGCTACCTGAATCTGGGCCAGATGGGGGTCTCACAGGGTACGCCGGACGCCCGAGACGACAGCGGGAACGGGCGGGCTCGGGAGAGTCCTGGGAGCAGGCGGGAGACACTCGGCTCGTTTTGGCGAAGTGGGGGTCAGGGTGGGAGGCAGAGGGGGCGAGGGGGAGAGCAAGGGCGAGTGGATGCAGAGACTGATGTATGTCTTTTTCAGGGCTCTGGCGGGCCGCGCTGTCAAGGGCGCCGGTGGCGCGGCGTGGCGGCGGCGGGTCGTTTGCGGACCGCGGCGCGAGGAGCGGCAGCACTCTCTAGCAATAGTTCTGTCCAAACTATGTTCTTCGTGAGGGCGTGCCCAGCAGCCGTGCGTCGCTCTGAGGCGGCGAGGATCCTAAGGTCGGAACGGCGTTGGGCACGGCTGAGCGCCACGTACAGGTGCCCGTGCGTGAAAGGGCTGCGCCGCAGATCGATCACGCACTTGTTGAGGGTGCTGCCCTGAGCGCCGTTCAGGGTGGAGGCGTACGCTGGGCGCAGGGGAAATTGTCGGCGCACGATGGTTGTTGCACCCTTGGCCAAGTGCCAGCGGAAGCAGATCCGGGGTAAAGGGAAGCGTCTGCCGTCCAGCGTGTCGACATCCACGTGATTGTCGTGGACGGCGACGAGGACCACCCGAGTGTGGTTCATCAGACGATCCTGTGGACTGAAGTTCCGCATTATTTCATACAAAGCGCCGACGACCAGTCGAAGACGGTGGGGGGGAACCCCGTGTTCGGTCTGGACGTTGAGAAATTCGGGCGTGACGTGAGGTTCTATGAAGTGGTCGTCCCGGTCTATCTCTATAGAGTCGGCGCTGAATCGGTGGTATTCGGCGCGACGGTAAGTGTGCGCGAGGATGTCCAGGACCATGTCGTTGAAAGCGTCAACGGTGTCGTTCGTGACGGCGAGGATCTTGGACTTGGCGCAAGCATGGGTGTCGTTGGGGTGGGGAAAGCAGAAGTCAATGGCTTCGCGGGGATCGAGTATGGTCGGGCAGAGGTGCAATTCCAAGTAACCCGGAGTGCCATCGACGGAGTGATTGGCTTCGGCAGTTCCGTTGCCGATCGTCTCGATCCAGCGAGCGTATGTGGGATCAGCATGTTGCCTGTGTTTGGTGGTGAGCCGGTGGCATTCGAAACGGTCCCACGTTGCCGACGAACGCACGCTCATTGCAACAATGTCGCGTCTGGACGCATGCTTGAGGACAGGGGGGATCTGGCGGAAGTCCCCGTAGCATATGATGACCTTGGGAGAGTATGCGTCGGGGGCTGCATGTCGCAGGGTGTCCAGGAACTGCACGACGGCATCCCATGCTGTCCTCTTCGTTCCGGGCCATTCGTCCCATTGTATGACGGAAGCGCGAGCTAGCCGCGCGGCATCAGCAGTCTGCAAGCCCAGAGTGCAAGTCAACGGATCCTCGTCGCCCAAAGGGATCTTGAATGTGGAGTGGGCCGTGGCGCCGTGAGGTAAGAGGAGGGCGGCCTGTCCTGTCGTGGCCACGTTCACACAGGATTTGCCGATAGCCTCGGTGTAGTGGTGCACGTATTGGGCCAACGTGGATTTGCCAGTGCCAGCGGCGCCGTGGACGAAGACGAACTTGGATGCATTGGCGTCGATATGTCCAGTGATCGTCTCGGTGGCCGCGCGCTGCTCTGAATCGCTGCGCACGCGAGCCTCGAGCGCCTGGAAGGTGATCGTGGCGGGCGCGGGTGTCGAAGGAGGAGTGCTGCCGGCGGACTGTCCGCCCGTTGATTGTACGGTCACGGGCGCGTCCAAAAAGGCAAGCGCGTCGGCGCGGTCCTGCGCCGCCGCAGCAAGGCGCAAGCATTGCTTCAGTTCCGCCGCGGCAGTGGACGGCGCCATCCCCCGGTCGAGGAAGTCCTTCATGAGGTGCTGGGCGAATGCGTTGTACAGCGTCACTGGTTTAGCGTCGAGGTCGAGGAGCACGACAAAGGCGAAGCGCAGCTGGTGGGCCGTGTACCGTAATTCCACGAGTTCTTGCAGAACGCGGGCGGCCTCGTCGTCCTTGGCAAACATGCCGGTCGCCAGCATGGCCTCCTCGTACGTAGGGTACTGCGAGCCATTGTGCGATTGGCAGTCTTGGAAGCTCCTGGAGGAAGGGGGGCAAACAGTGGGGGTTATGGAAAGGGGAGGTGGTGGGGGGAGTGGAGGGGGAGGGGGAGGGCCGGAAACGTCTAAATCGAACAGACCGTGCAAAGTTTGATGGCCGTCGGGGGAGTGTAGGGAATGTTCGTTCGGGGAAGAAGAGGGGGGCGCAGGTTGGAGGCCCGGTCCTCTTGGGAAAGTGGAGGAGCATCTGTCGCAGGTAGAAGACGTCCTTCTGCCGTGGGTACTTCATCTCCAGCCGGCACACGGGCGGTTCTCCCCGCATGCGGACGTACACGTAATTCTGGCGTCCCGGCGGCGCCATGTCCGTGGTTGGGCGCACAGGGAGGTCTGCAGGTATTCGGTGCCATCGTGTAGACAGGGTCGGCCACTCGCTCTGGGGCGGTTCGACGAGGTGGTTGCCGAACACATCGGGGAAGAATCCGCGGAACGCCACGGGGCAGGTCGTGCTGACGATGAACCGTTCGAAGTACTCGGTGTATTTGCAGCTGAGGAAGGGCTCCCGGTTGGGGCGGTAGAAGTAGCGCTCCAACTGAGACGTAGTGTGGTCTGCAGCATCGGCCTCGAAATCTTCTCCAAGGTTCGCCCAGTCATCGTCGGGAAGGTGCACGGGCAAGCAAAGTACGGTGGGCACGCGCTCGTACGTGGTGTAGCCGAAGATTCGCCATGCGCACTCGGTGGCTACCAGGTACCGTCCCCGTAGCCAATCGGCAATTTCGTCTGTCGGCCGGTCTTCCGAGCCAATGGTGTACATGGTGTGGTCGGGGCCTTTGAAGAGGTACTTGAAGAGGTATTCAAAGAGATTGACTGATCCGGCGAACTTGACGTTCGCATGGCCGTCCCACTTCAAGAGTATTCGGGGGGAGTACTCAACGACCAGTCGATTGCAGCACACGTTCCGTCGTCCGCATGCAGGCCCGCCGGACTGGCAATTGGGGCAGGTGCCAGAGCACGGGCGTCGGCGGTGGTGCGGGTACCCTCGGGCGTCCATCTCGGTGGTGTCGGCGAACGGCCATGGGCAGCCTTTGATGCATTCTTGGGCGGGGTCGCCCGGGTGGCAGGAATGGTTGCACCGATGAATCATATGAAGCAGAACGCGCTCGCGGAGTGGGCCAGGTTCGGGAGGAACTTCACAGGATATGAGAGCATCGATCTCCTCGGGCGTGCAGGGCGGGTTATCCACTGCGAGAGCAATGTGGGCATGGGGGAGGCCGCGCATCTGGTACTCAATGACGCGGATGAGGTACCTTCGGCGCCCGCAGAAGTCGTTCTTGAGGAAGGAAATCATCTCCAGGAGGCGCGCGTGAAACACGCGGACGACGACGTCTGGTCTGTCAGCAGCGGTTTGTCCTGGCAGGAGGGCGGATTGAATTTCTGGCCAGTATGGGTTGCACGTCAAGGTGATGAAGAAGGTAGGCGGTCCTTTACGTCGCGCCAGTTCTAAGCAGTCGACTCGAAGACGTCGGAGATGGCGCGGGGAGCCCGGCACGCTGGAGGGCAAGAACACGCGAGTCGCAGAGGGCTCTGGACTGGGGGAGTTAGCGACCATCTCGCAGACTTGACGCCGAGTGCCACGCAGCTTGGGCTGATCACGGCGGAGGAGGCTCAATCTTTCGTCCTCCATCCGGCAGTACATGTTGATGAGCCATTCGTTCAGCAGTCGTCCGCAAGCGTGCATGTGTGTCAACCGTAGTATGCATTGGCGGTACCACCACATTTGAGTGATGTGCGCGCCGTTGACCGTGGCATCCGGGCTCCACCCACGCCCGCCGGATGGGAACCACAATGGGTAGGACAGCGGCTCGTAGAAAGGGTGTAGTGGATGGAGGTACTTGGGCGTGGTGGAGGAGTGAAGTCGGAATGTGACTGTGCGAGGCTGAGCGTGGCTGTCAGGTCGCGCGTCGACGATGGCGGCGAGCTCGTTGATACCTTCGTCCCATTTCAAGTGCACCGCTGCGTCCGGGCCTGGGCGACGCAGGGCTCCCAGCCTCTTGATTTCAGTCATGAAAGGGTTGATGGGCAGCAGGAGGCGTTCGAGGCGACGAAGTAGCGGCAGGTCCAACTGCAACGCAGTAGCTTGTCGAACGCGTTCGTGAGGGTCGACGACGAGATATCTCACGGCGGTGGAGTCGGCAGCCGTGAGTACTCGTCTGTACATCGTGCCGTGGATCCGGAGGTTCGAGGGGCGCATATAGTTCCCGAATCGGAGTTCCTTCGTAGCCCCAGCGCTCTGGATCTCGTGAACAGCCAGTGCGAATAAGTTGTTGTAGCGTCGACTGGTGGCCGTGAATCCTGTCAAACGAACAGAATTGGTGGTGGGATCGTGCAAGAGCTGACCCGCGGCGTCCCGAGCTGGCCAAGTGGAGCGGAAGATCTCCAAGAGAGCGGGAGGTGGGAGCGAGAAGAATCGTTCGAATGGGACGGCCCACCTGCCGTTGCCGCAGCAGAACGTAGGTGCTTCGGTATGGAAGAGGGAGGCCGAACAATGTGGGCAAATGCGGGTCATTTCTCCGACGGAGAACGGCACGTCTTCAAGGGACGGTCGGCCCACTACGCTGCAGTCGCGGCAAACGCTGTCAAGCGACCTGTCGCGGTCGGTGGCGAAGGCTTCCCTTGGCAAGGTGAGCCCGC